GTAAGTTTTTTCATTACCAAGTTATAGAGTTATTATTACGTCTTCTAGTGCTAAAAGTCCTTTTTATGGACTGTTTTGAACACAGATCATCCACATACTTCATTCAAATCCAGCCATCGCTTTTCCTTGAGTTTACAGGTAATATATATATTATTTTTATTTAGAAGTATAATTAAGTTCATTACGTGTAACGTTAAAATAGTTTATAGTCTTTGCACTTGTGGATGAATCCTATGAAAGATTTGTTGTTATTGTTATGTTTAATGACGTTTCTTTCAATTACTGTTGTAGCAGGGCCTCCTCCTCTTCCTTGGCTACCTCCCCCTCTTCCTTGGCCACCTCCCCCTCTTCCTTGGCCACCTCCATCTCTTCCTTGGCCACCTCCCCCTCTTTTTTGGCCACCTCCTCTTCCTGCTCCTCTCCCTCCACCTCGTCCCTGCTTCCCTTTACCCCTATGTTGTCTCCTTTTCTTCTAACAAAAAGAGATTAAGTTATTGTTTACATTAATGCTCCATTGTTACTTTGAATGTCTTTCCCTTCTCTCTCTCTGTCTCCCCTCCCGTGCCTGTGTTTTCTCCCGTCTCCGTCTCTTCTGTCCCCTCTGTTTCGTTTCCTGCCCCTGTTTCTTCCTCATCATCACTGTCCTTCATTTCTCCTCTCTTCCTCCTTCCTTCTATTAGTTCCAGCTGTCCTAATTTACAATGTCATAAAGCCTTTAATTTACACTTAAATTGTTTACTTTTAAGAGCTGGCCGAAACTGTTCCAAGTCTTAAAGTTAATAATTAGTGTTAAATGAAAGTACAAGTAATTCAACTATTATTAATTTAATTACCTAAGGACCTTCCTTCTTTCCTCTTGCCTAATGTTTGTAAATAAAACTAACCAAAATACAACGCAAAGTTACTTTTTAATACAATGGTTCTTCTTATTTCTGCTTGACAGCAAAAATTATTAGATTGCAATCATAAAAGAAAACTTACTTAGGCCATTTGATTCTATTAAAAACAATGTAATTTTAAATGTCAATTTCAATGTTACCATTCTCTTTTGTACTGTCTCCTCTCTCCTCTTTGTCTCTGTCCTTTTTGTCTATTTCCCCTTTCTCCTCTGTCGTCTCTCCTCTGTCTCCTTTCTTCTCTTTCTCCCTGACTTCTTTTTCTGCTATAAATACAGTTATTTTTTGCTTTTTAATGTACAACACAAACATATAAACAACTTACCAAGTTCATCTACCAAAAAAAGGCATTATAGTTATCACTATAGGGTTACACATTCCCAACTTACCATCAGATGGATGGACCTCAATGAGGACATCCTCTATTGGGGCAGCCATTACTTTTTGATTCTGAACTTACAGTTTCAGGTGTCTTATTTTATATCCTAAAGGTCACAGTTGACACTTGGTGTTCTTTGATTGGCTGTGAATGACGCAATGACTTCTATTTCGGTATTCTTCTCCCACACATTTTTATCATCAGTCCTCTCACCTGTAAAGATAAACACATATCACCTGCATGATAACTTCGAGACTAACTTTCTCTCAGCCAAGACTAACTTTCTCTCAGCCTTCCCTTTTGAGTTAGTAAGTTTTAAACAAAAAAGTGTGTGTGTTTATGTTGACGTCTCACGCACATACTAGTTCCACACCTTTGTTTTCAAAAAAGGGGATCCATAGTTTGTATGTCTTAGCGTTACAAACGAGTTCCTCTCTTTTAGGGGATCAATAGTTTGAATATTTGGCATTCAAACTAGTTCCACTCCTGTTTCAGGGGATCAATAGTCTGTTTGTTGTAGACAAACTAGTTCCTCTCCTGTTGAAAGGGGATCAATAGTATGTGCATTACACAAACTCACTTCTGTTATTCATTTACTGATTACATGGACAAGTTCTATTATGACCAAATTGACCACAGTTACCACATTTTTTTGTGTTGCAGGTGGTTCTAGAGATTGCCTAGGAGAATGTGGTACTTCAATCTCCATTGCAAAGTCTGGTGGATTATCTACACCTGGAGTTGATTGTCGAGATGATCCTGTTGGTCGAGGTGCATCAGGAAGTGGGCAGGTTACATCTTTACATTCGTATCTGCAAAACGATCTTATCTTTTCGTAAAGGTACCATTTCCTTTCAGTTGACATACCCTTTGGTGGTAATATATTAGGTAGTTCATCTTGCATTATTTGAGCGTCCTCCTTCAGCAAATTGAATTGTGTTACTGGGCCATCTACAGCTTGTCTGGCTGCAACTACACCAGGTGAGGTCGCATTTACAACAAAGTGTTGAAAGCCTTTGATGCCTTTTATTTTCTTGAATAATGTAGCAAAGTAACTACACCAGTCAAGTGTTTCTACAATGAGTTCACCATTGCTACTTCCTACTGGTTGGGCTTTGTTCACAGCAGATGATTGTTCTACAACTTGAATGAAGTCATCCAATGAGTCCACCTCTGCTTTACGGAATTTTTGCTTTAATAGTCCGAAGCACCAGTCTGGAGAAAATTTTGTGTGTCCAACTGTCAGAAAGGATATTGAAATGGACGCATAGAGTCCCGTCATGACTCTCCATAAGAGGTACTAAAATAAATAAAGAATTAAATTTAAAATGTTCATTATTGTGCATGTAATATACTTACTTAATAACTGTTTTTTTTTATTTTGCCCTGTGCAGTTGTCAGCATTGAAATGGATACTGACTGAGTTGAGGCCATGATTCTTTAAATAAAAATGTACCATGCTTATGACAGGATTTGCCCCTTTACCAGTGTCGAATGATTCATTGATCAAGAAATTAACCTGCTGAGGGATAGCTTCACAGCACACACCAAATATGTCACATTTCCTGGGAGTAAGAAAATAAATTGGACCTGCTTGTAGTGGACTTGAAGGATAGTGAACCTTTAAAAAAGTAAGTAAGCTAGATACACTTTCATAATTATCATAAAATGTTACCTGTTGAGCATAATCGAAGCTATAATGTGCTACAATATTTAACATAGCAAGTGGCCTTGTTAGTGGGGGATTGTAATTGTTTGCTGCATCAGTATACAGCCCTTTTAACAATAATTGTGCGGTTGCCTCTTTTAATACATCCTTATAGTACTCCCTTTCCTTTTTAACAAGACTTCTGTGATCTAGTGCCTTTTGCATTGCCTGAAAATTCTAAATAATACTTGTGTTATTACAATACTGACTTACCTCAGTTATCCTTTCATCTGATTGCATGTTAGCACTTCTTATAATCAGTCCACTTATCTCTTTACAAGTGGCACACAAGTCAGACATAGGCTTCATTTTTTCAATATATGGCAGGTAGCGTCGCCACAACATGTTGAATGTTGTTTCAGCACATGCTTTGACATAAAGCCCTTCACATGATTCCGCATACTCTAAGTATACCTGCCTTTTAGATGTACTGCATGGTAAGAACTTCTTATTCTCGTAACTTTTCATTCCAGGTATTCTTCCAGGAAGACTGATTCCATGGACTTCAGCGTAATTTCTGATAAAAGCAACAACCCGGAGAATATCATCATAAGTCAAAGAATGGTTTGGTGTCTTTCCAGCATTTCCGTGAACTCTAATAAAGTTAAGTACATAACATTGAATTTGTAAGTCTCATACCTTGGTATTAATCCATTTATTCTGTACTTTTTCATGATTTCCTCAAACCTGCTTTTGCCACATGCATGTAGCTTCAGAAATGTTACTCTACATATCTAGTTGAAAAACGATTAATTTTGTGTTGTGTCACTCATAGTTACAAACCTTATGACCTTGATGCATGAACGTAAAAAATTGCCTCTTTCTGTCTCCTGTGGTTGCCAGTCGACAATCCCCCCATGGTAGATGTTGCTGCCATTTGACTCATAATAGCAATTTCTTGAACAGGCTTTGCCATGGCTTGTATGTCACATCTATATGTTTTTATGTAAGAGTGACTGAACAGTGCATAGCAATTATCTGAGCAACCACATCCATGTTGAAAGAACTTTGATAATTCTTCTTCCTCCTGTAGGTCTTCCATCCTCATGTCATCACCAGAGTGAGTAGTTGAAGTAGCTGGAGCATCAGGCATCGCTGATTCTAAATCAAGATCTGATACTTGTAGCTCCACAGCCACCTCAGAATCAAACAGTGGTGGATTAATATCTTCATTACAATCTTTTGTCTCTTTCTCTTCTTTCCCTTCCTCTACCTCTTCTTCTTCCATATCTTCTACTGCTTCATAGTCTGTCTCTATCAATTAACAAATACACTGTATAACAAAGTTTAATATAATAATATTGTGCATTTATACAGGTGATGGAATGTCATTGTTGTGATAGCTAACCGCTATTCACAGTTAGCATGTAAACAGTGTTATGAATAAGCTTACCACTAGTTTCATCACAAAAGTAGTCCCCAAGAACTGAAGCAATGTAGTCACTGTCTCGAGGACCTATTTCTTCATTTAACAAGCGAGCAATGTCTCTTTCTGTAGCCATAGTTTTTATAAGTAGTCTTCTTCGTCTTTGTTATACTTTAAATAGTTGCTATAGAGACTCCATGGTTACCTAATGACGCATTAAAGCCCTCTGTTTTTATTCCGTGGTCGCTCCGTGTAACATTCTCCGAGCACAATCAAGGTAAAATGTCGAAGGGCTTATAACTCGGCAAAGAAGGCTTCGCTACCCCTGATTTTGGTATCAAATGATAGGATTTTGTTTATATAACATGTTTATGTGATAAAATGAATTTCGCCCAGGTAAAGATTTTTTGTGATTATGAGCCCATAGCTCAAAATGATAATTCCCGCAGATAGCCTGGTTTTCTCATATCAGGTCACATATACCACAGTAAATATAGCATTAATCTTGATCTATAATGATTGTTGGGATCACTTTCCTTACTATACTTGTGAAATGAAATAACTGCTTCAGTGCCTCTTTTGACCATCATGCCATAGCCATCAACCAATTTAATATCTTTTACAGAACTTAAATCAGAATTTTCAGCAGAGGGGAACATATCCATTACATCATAATTGTCATCATTACTAACACCGGAACCATATTTTACTTTAAATTTTGCAGCAAACTCAGCCAAACTCAAATATGCAAGTTGTCGTGGTCTGTGTATGTAACGCAGAACAATATTTTTACAAAAAACATCGTGGTCATCGTCTTGTAGAGGACAAAGAGCCTTATTATTTTTAAATAATGTGATACGATCCTCAATTGGACTAGTATTGATATGTTCAATGTCTCGACTCAGTTTAGTCATAGGTAATGATAACAAGCGATAAGCTGCTTCTTGTGCACTAAGGTCTCTATGATTTAAGAATGCAGCACCAATTTTGCGTAACTGTTGTGACAATTCTGAAGTTCTTTCCTGTGATGCGACTTGTTTCAAAAGTTCACTCATACTCTTTTCAGACTTGGTAATGTATGATGCCACATACATTACACAGGCGTAAGCATTAATGACAAATTGTTTGCCTGCCAAGCTATTAAAACATTTTCATTGTAATAGTTAATAAAGCAATCTTTTGGATCTTTCCTCAAAACTACTACATGACCAGAAGATGTGCTTGAAATTGCTCTTTCATATTCTTCTCTATTTGTTTGAGCTAGCTCAATCAATTCATCAATACTGATGTCAGTGTGACCATCCACTAGTAGCTTTCTTACATTTTCCAGAGATTTTTTGACTTTGTCACTCACATCATTATCACTACTAGACTGATAATCAATCAGTGTTCTTGAAGATGGAATTCTAGGAAAATTAAAGCGACATTTTTTACTTCGTTTGCAGTAAGTTGAGTGACGATGGGTTTGCAGTTCTTTTACTAATTTTTGCAACTGACCCCATCAGAGGGCATTTTGCAAGAGATATATTTATCAATAAGGTCGCACACTTTTTCTTCAAAATCAACTCCAAATTTAGGAGCATCCTTAATCCATTGAACACAGTGAGCATGAAGCGAATCACGAAACTGAAACTCCACTCTGACTGCATAGTCCTGTAATACTCCTAAAGGATTAGCAGAAGATTTTAAAAAGTCAGTAAAGAGACAAATTAATCTGTAGTGGAAGTGTCTTGCTGCTGCTATAGGATTCCGTCGTATCCAGTAACATAGTTCTTCAAATGAAAGATTTTTTACTTGTTCATCAGTGTAAAATTTTTCATATTGCCTGGCTATAACCTGGATTAAGTCAGGCCATCTAAGATCAGCAGCTGACACTGTAAAAAACCAAGTTGGAGTTCCAAGCTGCCTGACCATTGCCAAGAGATCACAAAAAGTTCTTTGATAGTAAGGTGGACTGCCATGATCGTTCTTCATAAAACGGTAGGCTTTATCTTTATGAATGTATTCTTTTAAACATCTGGGATCTCTAGCTTGAGCAGCTGTAATTCCACTATCATAAGGCCTTCGACGCCATATATAGTTATTTGCATCATCCAAGATTTGCTTAGATTCAACTATATACTGTGCACAAAAGAGGTAATCAAGGTCAGAACTAAAACGTCCATCTATATTCAGGAGGCGCTGATTCAAGTATTTTCTATAAGTTAGGCTTGTTATGCTTTCAGTGTTAAATCCACCACTTCCTAACGGAAACTTGTCCGGATTAGACATTAATTCGAAATTAGCATCACACATTATAGATAAAGGTTTTTGTCCTTCACCTGGTGCTATTGAGAGAATATTATTCTCTGTCTCAGGGTTATCCACTGACAAAACACTAGCAAATGCTGGCCCTCCATTAATTGTTAGTAGATGCTCATCACCTTCAATAATAGTTTCATCATCAAGTTCACCTGAGTCATTACTCTCAGTGGTTACATGTACATTAGTTGTAGATGATGTAGTATTACAAATCGGAGGACGTGAGCTATTACTATCAGTAGTTGCAATACTACACTCATGAGACATAGCATTATTATTAATAAATGGCACATTATGTGTATTATTTCTAGCAGTAGAAGTATTATTACATGCACAAATAGGATCTAATCCTACGAAGTGTAATTGCATTAATAATCCAATATGAATAGTAACACTACTACTATTGTTACAAGGGTACACAGTTGTGACACTAACTCTATTATTAATATTCACTTGTAAAATTTTTATTGTACTATTTCACGTTAAAAATCCCTTGAATTGCTATGTGATCCCCCCAAGCACCATTACCTAATCTTTCAAGGTATCTCTCCCATAAAAGCTTTTGCCTCTCTTCATCGTCACTTATCGAAGATATGAGTGTATCAATATAGTCTGAGGATTCTGTATCAGCATTATAAGCATTAGTGGCAGGCACTGCTGAACATACACTGTCTTTGTACAGCTCACTATTTTCCCTTAAATGGCTAACTAAAATGCTTCTAAATGTATCACTATTTTTTGGACAATTTTCTACTTGATAAGTAATAGTGTTGAAAAGACAGTTTCCATCCCCAGGCACTTCATGCACAATAAATCCTTTTTCCTTAGCAGCATCAAGTAATAATTGGTAAGGTGTTAAATGATCAGAATTATCAGAATTATGAATATTATTACTAT